AATCTCTCGACAAGTGATGTGTAGTCATATTTGCGAAACGGTGAAAATACGTTCTAAGGAAAGATATTTTAATAATTCTGAATCGAGATTTCTCCAGAAATCGAGTATCAAGGTTTTTCGTTATGGGGAAACTATTGGTAATAGCGGCATTTTCCAAAAATGCACAGCAACTTTGGAATAGCAAAAATTTGGGTGGACCTATAATTATGAAACGCAGTGTATATGTGGATTTATGGAACTGGAACTGCAGCAAACTAACGATGAGTAGGGCACTAGAAACGAAGAGGGAGAAATCCGAATCTCATACAAAATACAGCTTCATTTCTACAAAATAACAAGAAATCATGTTTTATATGACTAGTTCAAAAAATAATTTTTTTGACTCATATTATTCACATCACGGGATTATGCTAAGCGATGAGATGAAGAAAAATGAGAATTTCTTGTTATTACGATCCAGCCACATTATAAAGATCAATGTTACGGAAGTGAAAAGTTGAATGATTATCTTGGTATTAGTATTAATATGCAAACTGAAGTGATTTCCTATCATTTGATGAGCTAGAAGCTACTATCGGCTGAAGAGAACATACAATGACAATCAAAAGCTACAAAAATGATAAAGACGAAGTTTATCTGGCTCGCCATTTGTGCTCTTCCATTTCCTCTGCGATGAATTCCAATACAGACTTCACGACGTCACTTGTCTTGAAATAAAAGTTGGGATGGACACAATAAATTAAATTCATTTTCCGTATTTATACCTTAGCCGTTCCACCAATATCAGGGGTGTGAAGCCGTTTCTCCACCAAGGTGCGGTACAAACGAACATGCAGATATGTGGGCATGGTGGTTTCAGTCCAAGATAGTCTGGGAAACAGTTTTCATTTGGAGAGGATACTTGGAGGAGGGTGAATGAGGGAAAAACATAAATTTTCTGATTTAATCTGCAGCATGCGGCATTAAGGCAATCTCTTTACATGATGGCAGATGTGAGAAAAACGAAATCAGAAGTCACTGTTTGGGTTATTTCGAGAAGTTTTTGCATATGTTATATTTGTGCACCATGTTCCGACTTTGTTTCGATATATGGACGCTCAAAACTAACCGGGCATGTCAGCAGCGCTCTAATAAAAGCAGTTGGATTAGCAGCGTCTTTTCCAGCTAAAGAAGTACCAGTATTTCGAGTTCCCTGTAATACTTGGATATGAAAATGAATAGTGTTGCGCAGTGGATAAGCCATATATATCAGAGTTCAATCTGGATTAATTAACACGTTCTGAACATCACGCGTTTTGGGTTTTTGCACCGCGTGGGACCAGAGCGATTTTGCGAGCGCTGCCGCCGCACACAAATCCATGGATTTTGAGCTGTAAATACGCAATACTTATATGCGTTGAATTGTTTTCAATAATGTTCGATCTGTCTAACTTATCGGGTTACAGTAATGGAAGTTCGACCGAAATGATGTGTTAAGACCATGAAAAGGCAAAATTTTTTTCTTACTTTCCGTCCTTACTTTTCTTCAGTGGTCCCAGATTAATTTGGACGTGGTTGTTTAATAAAAAAAAAAACATATTTTGCCACACGACTAGTTTTGTATTCACTTCTGTTATTCTTTTTTATTCACATGTTCGCGTTAATGAGAAGAAAATGAGGAATGAATTGAACGGATATTTTCGTCAGGTCTGGAAAACCTCTACCAAACTTAAGAATAATTGGTCATTCTGTAAGCCACGTGGTTCTTGGTTATGTTGATGTATGACCTATAAAATGAACACAAAAAACCTGGAAGAAATCGAGCATGTGCGCAAAAAATAAATGTAATGGTGTGGCATACATAGTTGCCACAATGTCCATGGAGGTGCAAAAGTGGCGGCATACATAGTTGCCGCGCTGTCGTCAAAGTGTTAATCAAATTTGCGTTCATTTATTCATTCATGAAATAGAACTCGATGTGGGTGCTATTTCGATTATTCGCTTGGCTTAAATCAGAACCAAAAAGCAAATATTGAGAATGAAACTGCAATTACTACGCGCATCAAAGGCAAATTCAAACAGCGAAAGAAATGAACAATTGAGCTGCCGATTTTAAATGGCACCACAGTCTGCATTGACGCAAAAAATGCGTGAAAGATATTTGGAAAAAATTCCAAAGTGTTATTATGGATATAAAATAGACAGCCACTGAAACTAAGCATCCTATTCTGAACTTCCCTTAAGGACATGAGCGCCTTCCATGGATCGAAAATGTGTGCTTGCAACGAAACAATGAAGATGGTTCAAAGGATTAGGCAATGCGGGACCCCAAAAAGACACACCTATACCGAGTGTTCTCAACGGTAAAAAGAAACCAAAGGGAAACGGTCTAAAATCCGCAAAATGAGGCCCTTAGTTTCCCCGTTGGGAGGCTCTTATCGGTGGACACCATAACGCGCTCTTTTTTCCTCTTGCTTTAAACAGTTGAAGTTCGATTGCACGAGGACCAGCAGCTAGAATAGCCAAATGGATGTCGAGTAGAGGCAGGGAAGCGTCTAAAGGAAGTTGAAGCCTTATTACGTCGCTAAGGAAGGCTGGTGCACCACGGAATTGCCACCTTTTCGTCCTTTAAAGGCCAGACTTTGTTTATAGTAGGCATGTAAACATCATGCATATCATTCATCATCAACGGCATCCATTTTGACTGCTTTTGAGCTATTCACATCACCTTCGTTGTAGTATGCTCTAATTACAAAATCCTAACATAAGAATTGGTAACCACTGATGACAAAATTCCATAGCAGAGTACGTCACCAAATAAATATTTTCAGAAGACTCACAGTCTCAAATACTGCATACTCGTTCCCAATATTCATTCCAGAGACTAGTC